TTAAAAATGGTGCGGCTCGGAACACTTTTTCAACCCACATAACGTTTTATTTCGAAAAGTCCTTATACGGAAAAAAATTGCGATTTTCAAAACTTCCTTCTGCACTTCTTTAGAAAAAGCAATAAATACATGGACCCAGTAGAGTTGGTGATCAGAAACCCAAGTATTGGGATCGAGAGTTCTATCGTTGTGTTAAAACACTCTAGTCACCTTAACTACGCGAAAAATTTTAGGATTTTTGTCTCCTTTCCGCTTTCGAATTCAAATTAAATAATTCGGAAACACCTTGTGAATCGATTTAAGCTCGTCTGTCCGTCTACCCGTCTGTTTGTTTTGTTTTATTGTATTCAACCTAGCAGCCCATAATTGTTGCGATATTTTGATGAAGACCTGACTCAAGGCCACTTTTTCGATCTATTTCCACATAACACGTAACTCGTTCATACAAAAAGCTGTGGATCGATGTAGGTTATTTAATGGTTGGCCATGGCCAAGAATAGTGTTTTCACATGGTTCTTGTTTTATTTTTGGGATAACTGCTGCAATTATTATACAATATTATTATTTGCTCTTCATTAAATGTTTATTTTTGCGATATACTCATGCCAGAGCATTCTTTATTTGCAATCGGTTTGTTAGAGTGAGTAATTCGTGAATTTGGCGGAGCGCAATTAAAATTGAAATGAAAAAATTAAACACCGTTACGAAGCGAAATCAACAGAAAAGATAAACAAAATAATGCAATAGTGTTATTAAAAAGGCCTACGTGCGACTTGCTTGTAGATAATTTTCTTAAAAATAACAACAACATCAATACCGGAGCGCATATACTGAAGTTTCAGTTAGTAGATGCACATATTAATGGATAGATTAGTCAATTGCGCGCACTCGCATATAGTGAATAATTATTTTCCCTCCAAGGTGATTAATTGATATTTGGCTTCTCCGACATGTAAAAACAAGCACATAAATAACAAATGATTAAAACGCAAGGTTATAAAAAGTTAATAGTTTTTCAAAAAATTTTACTTTCTAAACGAGTTTTGTTTTTCCGCGAAGTTAGGAAAGCAGGTAAACAGGCAAGCAGGCAGGAATTGCTGACAAATTTCGTTCTGATTACTTTATATGTTATAAACTGTGAATTTTTAATGAGAATATTTCTCTCCAAATTACTTCCTAGGATATCTCCTAAACGTGTAACACGCTTATGGTCAAAAAGAAGTGAAGAGAAAGAGAGAAAGGGCGAAGCTAGAATTTGGTAGATCTGTGTCTCATTAGTAAATGTTATGGCTGCACCGATAGTGTCTTTACTATTATACGATCCGATACCAGGCGTTATGAAAGTACCGTCTCGCACACATAGGATTTGCATGTGTCTGGCCAGTAAGTGTTATGCCTGCACTGATAGGATCTTCACAGCTACGATCGGATACTAGGCGTTATGAAAGTACGGTGTAACACACCGTGGATTTGCGTGTATCCGGGCAACGACTGTTATGCCTGCGCCTATCTCACTATCTCACTTCAATATTATATTAGGTTTTCCATTTGATAAAGACATTTGTTGTGGCTAATTGGCATCAAGTTTCCACCATTTTCTACAACATTTTACATTATTTTTAATGGCAAAACGATATCATATCGAAAGAAGTTATATTGCTTTGGCAGCGATCCACCCATCGAGCCATTTTTGCACTTCTTTAAGTTTGCAGACTCTCGTGCCAGGCAAGCCATGCCGCACCGAACTGAACAAGTTGTAATCAGGAGTTGCAACAGTCTATCCTGGACCACACTGGCAATAGGTGACCAAAAAATGGCATATTCAGGTAATTAGTGTCGCCACTTTTAAACCGAAACCGACAATTGGGATATGATGGAGCAGCATCAGCAAAAACCTCTGAACATGTTTTGTGGGCTACGGCAACAGATTTCTTGAAATGAACAACAAAAGTAATGAATTGGGAAGAAGGAGAATTTTGAGCGCTAAATTTTGAGTATTAAAAGTGGAAAACTATTATTTTATGTAGAGGAAGGTCAAAGCCATCGAATTCAACCGTTATGTACACTAGTGCTTCCCATTTCCTTATCACTTTTACCTATAAAAGTCGTTGGTCAAAATTTTTGCGAACACCTCATAGCTGAGATCAGACAACAGTCATAATTAAGATACGTTCTATACCGTGTATGCCGATTTAATAGTCGCGCTGCTTACCTACTTATCTATGCAAAAGTCCTCTTTATATTTACCGTAATTCAAATATTTAATATTCCCCAAGCGATTAACTTCTCTCTCTCTCTCCCTCTCTTTGACTCTCTCACTGTCACTTTCACTCTCTGCCGTTCTCTTTCCTAAATGCAAAGATTTTAGTGGGCGTAGGCTGTGTTGATTTGTACTTCAATTGCTTCAGACCTATATCTGTATATTTGTATACAGATCATAAGCATAAGTTTGTAACCAAATTATATCGATCTCTTGTATTTTTGGATCATCTTGAAAGTTAGCCTATTGTTGTGTGGACAAAAAACTAATGTAATGTTCTTTAGTAACTTCAGGTTTATTTAATAAATTTCGCCCCTTTTACGATTTGATGTGCAGGCTATAGAGTGTCGACGAAGCCTTGCACTCAATTTTCTAGAAAAATGTATATAAAAACTTATCACATTTCCCGCAATGAAAAGCACAATAATACTTAATATAATGGAATGCAAGTGTTGTACATTTTTTTTTTTTGTTAGCACGTCACGAAACGATACGTTTCTGGCTAATGTGGTGTTGAAATTTTTACAAGGCTAGAAGAATAAGAAGGTATGTATGCAGCAGATATATTTAACAGTAAGTGATAAGAAGATGAGAGAGGATAATGACAAAGAGGAGTTTCGTTGATATTAAATTTTGACATGTAAGAGATTTAAGTAAATATTTAGTAGTGCGATGACTGACAATTATTATCTGAAGTGCTGTTGTTTGCATGATGTCAACATTATCGCCGTCGCCGTCGTGTTTCTTTGAAACAATGCGATCGTTTTATTCAGTTGCGTTTTAGCATTCAGCACAATCAAGTCGAAAATTTTCACACATCGGAGAGAAAAGTGTTCTAATATAAATCCAAATATATATATATATATATATAAATAAAATATATAGATATATATGTATACATATAAATATACATGTATATAAACAAATAAAAAACGTAAAATTAAAAACAAATTGCGAAAATATAATTTTCCTGTTAAAGAAAAGCAAAAAAAAAATAAAAAAATATAGTAATCTTTCTGTGATATCCTGCATATATACTTAGCTTGCATGCAAATAAAATGATTACACCACCAACGCCTCTCTTAGACTATAATAAGTTTTTTAAATATTCTGCTCAACCCTCAAATGCTGAACAGTATTTACGGGATTACATAGAAATATGGTAAAAATCTTTCTATAATCCTCTAACATACTTACATATCACAACGTATTCCAATCAATTATTCTAGATCAGCGTAATACATTTATTGATTTTGTACATTCCGTTTATCCGCCAAAAAAAATGAACTAAAAACTTTAAACATTTGACACTCCTCGCTAACAATCTGTTAGAGTTTGAAAAAAGGCACAATTTGTCCATATACGTACATACCCAACACAACTGAAAATTGGAAATATAAAAAGAATGTCTTAATACTAATGCAAATAGTTTATAAGTCGTAATAGATATTGATATAAATTTTAATATAAATGTGTCCCAGCTGAAGGCACATTCAAAAAAATTGCTAATCGATTAATTAACGAAAAAGAAGAAAGAATCGTATCTGCTGATGTCCAACATCTTTATCTTAAATCGTGAAAAGAAACGTGTGGATTTTCGATGCCATATAATACAGGGTCCATTCTATGTGTGTTGTAATATCATACACAGAATATACGGGGAAATGTTGATCTCCAGTTTCTGAGCTTAAGAGTAATGAGTTAAAAAATTCAATATCTTGTTTTTGAAAGCAGTGGTATTCTTAGTTTCCAATGTTTTGGCTGTATTCAGAATCGATAAAACTTGTGGATTTTCGATGCCATATAATACAGGGTCCATCCTATGTGTGTTGTAATATCATACACAGAATATACGGGGAAATGTTGATCTCCAGTTTCTGAGCTTAAGAGTAAAGAGTTAAAAAATTCAATATTTTGTTTTTGAAAGCAGTGGTATTCTTAGTTTCTAATGTTTTGTCTGTATTCAGAATCGATATTAATCTTTGCATAAATATATATCACAGGCGGAGGGATAGACATTTCTATATAGATTCAGAATCTAGAATATATATGCATGCATTTTATTAAGACTCTGAAAATTCCTTCTGAGTATTGAACACGTTCTCAGTGCTTTATTAATTAATTATTGCAATCCCAAGAAAATATGTCATAGATAGACAAACGGACAGACATTATTATAATTTGATATTAATCTCGAATATATATGCCTGCTTCCTTTCCTTAAATCTCTGAATCTTCCTTCCGAGTGTTGCACACGTTCTTCTTTATTAATCAATTATTGCAATTGCAGGAATATATATTACAGATAGATAAACGGACACAGGCACAGACATTCCTAAATAGATTCGGAATTTGATATTGGCCTATGGAATATATATGCATGCACTTTCTACGGTCTCTGTAGCTTCCTTATGAGTTTTGCAAACTTTTCTTAGTAATTTACGTGGCAAGAATTTAATATTCGCCTAAAAGACGACTATAACTTTTTCCCTTTTATCTATTAGTTCATATTCAGTGAGATTAAAAAAATTGTTTGAACTGAAATAAATTTGTGCAAATAACTGCGAGAAAAAAGTTGTGTAGATATAGTAGCTGCGCATTAATTACAACTATTTTAACTTGGCGAAAAATAATTTATAAATCGCAATTGATGGTTAACAAATATACCCATCAGAAATTATTGCATTTTATTTAGTAAATTTACTGAAAAATGGTGTTTATTTTCTATTTAAATTTGCAGCGAGCGACGTTACGAGGAATTATGCCGCAATATTATCAACGATATGAATCAATATGGCCTTTCAGTGGTTGATGATTTTTTGGGTATGGAAAAAGGTTTACAAATACTTAACGAAGTACATCGTATGTATGCAGCTGGCGTGTTTAAAGTAAGTTACATTTTCATCTATTATTTAATCTAATTGATAGCAATAATAAAAAACAATAATAATAAATTTATATAAATAATATTTAAGGATGGCCAACTAGTAAATAATATGAAATCAGAACAAGATCAAAGAACTATACGTGGTGATAAAATAACATGGGTTAAAGGCATTGAGCCAGGTTGCTCAAATGTCGGCTATCTGATCAATCAGGTATGAATATATAAATTATATTAAAGAAAGAAGAAAACAAAAACAGAAGCTTTTTCAATTTAAAATTTCTATCAATTCTATTAAAGATTGATGCGGTTATTTGTAGGGCTAATACCATGAAAGACAATGGAAAACTCGGCGATTATATCATAAGGGAAAGAACAAAGGTGCGTGTTCATATTAAAGTGATGTCTATCTATCTATTAAGTTGATCAATATCTGGAGATTTGTATTTTTTTCTATACCCTGAAGGTATTTATTTGTAACATAAGTTTATGTTTTTTAAAGTAGACAAAGCACAAATTGGACAAGAGTCCCATTTACTGACAAAGACGCTTTAGCTGTTTGCAAAAACTACCAATATTTCTACCTTAAAGTAGCCGAAGTGTTAAGAAGTTTCTTTGTGAAAGATATGACATTGCATTAATTTAAATCGATGGTTTTTGTTTCTACATTTGGTTTAATTCTAGTACATGTTTATTTTTTGCATTTATAATGACATAGAATTCATCAAAACATGTGATATTCTTAATCAACTGCGTAAACTGCGTAGATGTTTTCTGTAATAAAACCAAATTTCACCTACACAATTTTACATTGCTAACTTCGATGCCCTAACATTCCTATTATAATATCTTCCAATGTAGCCTTTTCGAGAAATATAATATAATCAAAGCGTGCAGAAGTTTTGGAACCCGAATGAGATAGAATCCTCTACGCGGCGTGTGAAGACTTAGACCCTTCAAAAGCTAGCGTGACGCATTATATGACGCATTAGGTGATACGCCTGACTAATATGCAATTTATAATCCTAGCTAATAATCTGATGTAGTTTGACAATCAGCCCAATTCACCCAAGAAAGAAGAAGAAAACCTACACCAAAAAAGTAAAAACCTACACAAAGAAATTAAAAACCTACACCAAAAAACTAAAAACCTACACCAAAAAAACTAAAACTAAAAATGAAGAAGAAAACCTACACAAAAAAAAATAAAAACCTGTACCAAAAAACTAAAAACCTACACCCAACAAAACCTACACCAAAAAAATTAAAAATATAAAAAGAAGAAGAAAACCTATATCAAAAAAATAAAAACCTACACCAAAAAAACTAAAACTAAAAAAAAGAAGAAGAAGAAAACCTACATCAAAAAAATAAAAACCTACACCAAAAAAACCTACACGAAAAAACTAAAAACCTACACCAAAAAAATTAAAAAAGAAGAAGAAAACATACACCAAAAAGCTAAAAACCCAAGTATATGGTCAGATTAAATAAAAACTGGATATTTTAAAAGAAATGTGTTAATAGAGTTACATGTAGTTGATAAGTCTTAGCGTCTATACGACGCAGGCAGCGGGCTGTCGCTCTCATCTAATATAAAGGAAATTTTCCATTTCAATTTATTATAGCGAAAAATCTTGTTTACGATTCTTTTTTTCTACATAATGGCTTTTGCGCAATAAGACATTATATGGAGAATGGCTTGCAAGAGTTGTCCCCTTCGATCAATTTCAGAAGAGTTCCTACACTGGACTAAAGTTCCATCGAAATATTTCAAAAATTTGGCACTTGCCGGTCGAACACAGGCAAGGACGGACAGACAAGATTAAATTGATTCAGGAAATGATTTCAGACTGATATAATAATATTTGAAACAATGTCTAAGTCTCTATAGATGTTGCATACATCAGCACAAACATATTCTACCTTGTACCACAAGTTGAGTAGGATATAAAAATTTCCAAATTCAGGATAGGGTTTACAAACTTAATTTTCAGATCTTGTGTAATTTTCAAAGAAAAATTTCAATTGACAAAATCACATATGTTGTGAAATTTTTTAGGCTATGGTTGCTTGTTACCCTGGTTCCGGCTCGCATTATGTCATGCATATCGATAATCCTAATAAGGATGGCCGTGTCATTACCGCCATTTACTATTTGAATGTAAATTGGGATACTAAACGTAGTGGCGGAGTTTTAAGGTTTGTGAAACTAAAATATCACTGTTGCAGAGAAATATATTTTAAATGTTTGCCTTATTATATTTTTTTTAGAATATTTCCTGAACAAACGAAATCAGTGGCTGATATAGAGCCGAAATTTGATCGTTTAATATTTTTTTGGTCGGACAAACGGAATCCGCATGAAGTGCAGCCGGCGCATCGTACGCGTTACGCAATCACAGTTTGGTATTTCGATGCTAATGAACGTGAAGCTGCTCTAAATCGGTGTAAAAATATAAATCAAGCTGGACCATCACCCAGTCCTAATAGTAACAATGTTAATAGCCATAGCGATAATTCTATATTGCTGCAGTCAACGGTAAACGCGAACGTGACTTTGGCTTCTAATTTACAACAGACCTCTACGTAATTAAAAAGCAAAAAAAAAAAAAAAAAAAGAAAAAGAAAACAAAGAAAACAAAAATAGAACAACAAGTAAATTGTATATATAGCAATATGTATGTAAATATGTCATCGATTTTACGCTTATACCATAATGCCTAACCTAGGGCATCGTTTCCTTTCCTTTCATTTTTGAATTTTTTTCTTTTATGCCATTGTGTACCTACTTTAAAGAGTCAAATGTAGATATAGTCAAATCAAAACTGGTTAAAAAGTTGGAATTTATTTAATTATTTTTAAATAAAAGTTGTTATTTTAGTTTAAGTAAAAGCAGAAAAAAGATAAAAAGAACGATAATCTTCTATATTAGCAGATTCACTTTATTATCTTATTGGGGAAAGCATGAGAGCATGCTTGTGAATATAGTTTTATTATTATTATATATTGCATAATTTAAGTATTAAAATTATTTAATATTTGTCATCACACTGAAAATTATTTTCATTAAAAATTCATAAAATTTCCTTTAATAAATAATCATAGTTTTATTAAAGAGTTCAATAAGATATACACTGCACCGGCAACGGCTATACAGTCTATCTCCCCTTTTGGTTGTGCGCTTTTTACACCATTTCTTAAATTGAATGGAATATCGCGAAGAAATACGTAAAAAAGTCATTGGCCCGAAATTTTTAAAGTTATCTATGGCCGTGGAGGAGACTACGATTCTTGTATTTCATATACTATAGCGAAAGGTAAAAATGGTTTTTTTTTTTTTTTTTTTTTTTTTTTTTTTTTTAAAGCGTAATAAAACATGAACGGAATTAATTTGAGTGTAAATAACCTATGTAATCCTTATAAATACAAGTCATTACTAACTATTTGGATTCCAATAAAGTAAGTTTCTAAGCTTCTGCTGAGCTTCAGCATCAAAAGTCGCCAGCTCGTTCTACCCTCGTATATCCCCCTTTCGGAAGGGGGTGCTAAGATAACTAAGTAGTAGTGAGAGCACAGCGACTGGTGACGGTAATGCGCATCTCACGCGACCTTCAGAAATGAATAAGGGCTTCCACGAAGAAGAGTTGTTTGCCGTGTGATGAAGAAAAGAGGTGCTTGTTAACTTAACAATAACGTCGGTTGAAATCTGTTAAAATACATCGGGACCTTGTAATAATTTCTTTGTTTACGACTTTCAATGTGATATTTAAATACGGGGAGCGAATCTCGCATACCCACCATTATGCTGTTCGCATTCTACTCTCCAAGTTCTTTTAATTTGAGTCCCAAGCAGCGCGATCGCGCTGATTTTATTCAGATTTTATTTCGAGAAAACCCAGACGGTGTTGAAAAAACACTGTCAAAGAATCCCAAGCAGCGCGATCGCGCTGTTTCAATTTTATGTCGAGAAAACCCAGCACATTTCGAGCATTGCGGACAACTGGCGGTGCGTTACATATTATCGAAATCGAGTGCTCAGACTTACTCACGCAAGTAGATCATACAGCGCCTTTTAACGTAAATAGTACATTTTATAATAGGTGAAATAGTACTATAATAATGCAATAATATATTACAAAATAAAAATTTTTATTGTTGTTTTTTTTATAATTTTTGTATTTCTCGGCATAAAATTAAGCGCTATGGCGCCGCTTGGTATTTCTCGACATAAAATTAAACAAACGTGATGGCGCTGTTTGGGATTCTTCCACAGTGTTTTTTCAATACCATCTGGGACTCAAACGGTTAATAAATCGATGAATGATCAATGGAAAGCCTGATTGTAATACCCGATGTTAAAGCAACATAAACGAATTATTATCTGTAAAATCACAACTTCAGGCTAAATTAAAATTTTGTGAGTGAACATTGAAATCCGAAAGAGGGTCAGTCTCGCAGTATTGTCAGCCAAACATTGAAACATTATTCTTCTTTCCATTGATAGTCGAACGCTGCCGATTATGTTTATTTTAAATTGTTGCAGTGGAGAACTAAGATCGTTCGTGTTGAACTTTGAAAGCACAGTGAACAATGAAGAAACTATCGCTAATTTGAGTTTAACAGTCTGTGCAATCCATATACGTACAAGTCAGCATTAACTCTGGTAATTCCAATTAATGCCATTGCCTGCTAAGCTCCAGCATCAAAAGCTTTAATATTTTACTGGGTAGATAATTTCCGCGCAACATTTATCGTCTCCACATTGACGCATCAATTGTCGCATTGTAGTATTAAGAACACTCATGCGATCCCTACAAGATCGGGCAACGTGAATAACCTTCATCGGGCTTAATGTTGGGTATCTCTCGCTTTTTCTTATTGCATATACTTCTTTACGAGTTGGATTCTTCCTTCTTCAATGCAACGGAAGACGGCAAAGAGAACCAAAAATACAATATATATGAGATCATTAAAATGTTACAGAATATTTACCGGCTTTGTATCTTACCATCATCAATGTTACTACCGTAGCTATCAGGTAAATTAATTGAAGAAAGATGAGTCTAATACGTAAAGAACTACTTTCAACAGGAAGCAAAGGCAATTTATCCTTCTTTCAGTGAAGGACTGAAGGACAAATTTAACATCTCTAAGCCAATGTAGTCCGTCTGTCTGGCCGTCGCCTTTAATTTAGATAAGTATGGTCGAAAAAATAGAGGTAAGAAGTTGAAACCTGGCTATAGATGGTCCCAAATTGAAGGCAAAATAAGTCTAATCCTACAGCAACTATCTACTGCATAAAAAACTGCCAAAGACTGCTAACAAGCTATAACATATTGATCTACAATTGGAAATATCTTTATTAGAAAAGTTTTCATAAAATATGTTGCTTTATATGTTTCTCAACATAAGTCGTAAACATTTTTAAATATTTTTATATATTATGTGTTTACAAAAGTTTTGATCATTTTTTCACTTGAAAAAAGCATTTATTGAGAAAAATCTCTAAAACGTATATTAATCAGAATAGTTTTCATAATTTCGGCAACATAAGTGATATCATGTTGAAAGAACTTATATTGATTTGGCAGCGATCCATTGCCGCGTGCCAGCCAAGCCATGCTACACTGATCTGAATAAGTGGTAATCAGGAAGCGCCATGTCTGGTGAGTACGCTGTGGATGTGGCAGAACTTCGCATTCTAGCTACGACAATGTATCCGGGACAGCTCTTGCTACAAGCCCAATGGCATTTTCAGTTAATTTGCGAGGTAGCCGTTCTCTCCCCTTTTGGACCTCTCCCATTTGATTCGTCAACTGTTGAGCTATTCGAAAGTTCTTCGAGAGTTTGTACTGGGTTTTCTGCCAACAAGTCTTGCAGTTCATGGTCCTTGAACTTTTTTGATCCTCTTGGCTTTTTTTGTCATTGACATTAAAATCACTGCTACTTAATCATTGAAACCATAACATAATATATTATCTATATTTACTGTTGCCTTAGCTTAGTCTACCTGCGTTGCCTGACAATTCAGAAACTCTTTCAATTAACAATGAAATCTTAATTCCAATTTATTTTCAATTTAGTCTAATTCACATTAGCACGTTCTTCACCCGTTTACGCCTGCTTGAGATTCCAGCCATTATTGCCGCCCATGCATGGTGAACGCAGCTTAGAAAATATTGAATTCCTTGATCAAAACGTTCCTAGAGAAAAACCTTAAAAATATACAAGGCATATGAAAGGAAATAATACGATTTCGGGATATACTGACGTCATGTGGATAATACATGAAAAACATGCGGATAATCTGAAGAGTTGCATGGTATTCTCTATGATTTGCCTATGTCTGCAATTAATCTACTCCATGTAGATAATACATAAAATAAAAGTATAGGAGAATATCTCTAAATGTGACATGTATCCCCTACGTTTTCTCTACGTGCGGTGTATGTATTCTCTACATTATCTACCTAATACTCTAGATAAGCATGGTATTTTGGACGTTTTCTTCACGTACTGCCTACGCATTTTCGGCTTCATGTCGATCATACGTGGAAAGTAAGTAGAGGATCTGCAGATAAGTTTAGAGGTGTTCTCTGTATATTCTCATATACATACACTTTATATACTGTCCCTTAAAATAACCCTCTAGTACACTGAGCTTAAATTCAAAATCGGGCAAGTGTTTGTGAAGCACAGCTTGCAAACTTTCTTTTGATGAGAATCTATGGAGTTTGCCAAAACGTTTCCAACGCCTAGAAGGAAATTGTAGAGAGACATTGTAATATATATATATATATATATATATTCTTCCTCGGTCTTAAATTCGAGCTCAATTTAGGCTTGTTCATCCACCCGTCTTCAGTAAACATCCTTCTAGCTGTAAAACTGAAGCTATTGGCTCCATATTTGACAAGAAAAAAATTGAAAGTTCTTACACACAGCTTGGTATTGAAGGCATCCACTGCTACGCTGAGGATCTATGCAGTTTGCCAAATTGTTTGCAACATTTAGGAGGAAGTTTTAGAGCAACAGCTTTTTATCGGTTTTAGATTCAATTTGGGCATGTCCATCCGTCCGTCTTTAATGAACATTTTTTTGACTGCAAAGCTAAAGCTATCGGTTCCACAATTGAGAAAAAAAAAAAAAAAATTAAAAGCTCTTGCACGCAGCTTGTTTGCAAAGGATACGTCGTGCATAGACCTTTGCTTTGTGGGCATTTTTTCTCACTACGCATAAATTAAGAAAGATGCATAATAAAAGTTTTGCATACGTTTTCTACAAAAATGGAAAAAATCAAACAATCCCCTTCAGTGTTATAAGGCATCAAACTTACGGAAGATACGTTCATAAAATCGAATATAATTTACTTACTTACTTGTATTTGAATTCGTTTTTCAATTACAATTTACTTACCTCTCTAATCTTTGTGAATATTCAACATTTTTCAAGAATATATATTTATATATATTTTGTTTGTTTTTTGTTTTTTTTAATACAATCCTTTTAATATTCATTTAGTTTTCATTTAATTGAACTGAAATATGAATCAAAATTTACAAATAAACAACATTTTTAGTCTGTGTGGTCTGTAGGTGCGTATGTGTAATTATGCAACTATTGACTGATCAAGTGAATGATTTCTCTGTTTTGTTTTTCTTCTTTTAATTTACAAGCAATAACACACATTTATATCATTTTACTTTCGTTAAGTTTTTCTTTTTTTTTTCTCTTCTTCTTCTTTTTACACTTTGAATATTCTCTAAGGTTTTGAGATGAGACAAAAAAAAAAAAAAAATGCATTTTTCATAACAAATTCAATCACACGAAGGATTATTTTGTATACATGTGTGAGAGAGAATATGGGCTTTTCTTTTTGCTTTTTGTTATCTTTCTACATCTAATCAATAAGTTTCGCCACAGCATGGCAAACATTTTGTTGTTAAGGTTTTCTTTTTAAATTCTATGCGAAAATTCTGTTTATCGATACAACTACAAGTATATATGAAATCTACAACATTTTTGTATA